AAAATCCTGGGAAAAGGCACTGCTAAACCCTTTCCCCACCATTTGCTAAGGAAACAACATGAAGTAAAGCAAGCCACTAGCATTTGAGCTCAACACTACGAAGAGTTAACTTACTTACATATATATTAGTATGGTATTCAATTAAATTATTAAAAGTTAAATCAGTGGCAGGCAGGCAGGTCAGTATCAAGCAATTAGGCTAGTATATATCATCTAGATTTCTAAGCAGTTCACTCCAGAATGTAAAGTATTTTTTCAAATGAAGTAGGATCTTTTCATACCATTTTATAATTAATACAGAACAAAAGTTATGGTCACAGTTTTGTAGCATTAGCCTCTGAATAACCATTAAAGCATAGAATTCCATTTCCATTGCCTTCCTTTCCATCCCCAGATAGTTTGTAATTCAAAAGTATATGAACAGTTACAAATATACTTGTGGAATTAAATTCTATATGAAATCAGTTTTGAAAAGATGCTGCTATGGCTCACTGTCAGATCAAACCAATTAACTTTGAATGCTCAACATCACTTCTAAATTATATGAATGAACAATTTCTTTAAAAAATCTGTATTTCATATCTGCTTTCGCACTTGGACATTTAATCTGATATAATTCAATGGCTGTTGTGAATAGCTATTATAGTCTTATTATTTTGAAAAGATCAAGCTATTTTCTAACACAGACATTTTGAAGCCCTTGAGGGCTGTCAGTTATATGTAGATGTCAAAAGACATTTAAATCATTGCCTCTCAGCATTTTTTAAAATGATAGTTACACTGGAATTCCTCAAATAATAATAATAATGAACCATTATCCTATCTAGGGTATATACTCTACCCAGACTGATAAAAAAAATGCTGTTGTGAGATTTGGTTTAAAATATTAGTTTAGCATTAGCATAAGAATGTTTCTGAAGATGTTTTGACTAATACAAGATGCTGCTTATAAACAGGAAATGGCATCCATGTTCAAAAGGTTCCTACTACTGTAGACTGAACATCAGACTGAATAAGCCACTGATCTGATCAAGAGAGATTTCTCTGGAAAATCACACTGGTGCCCATCATGAACTTTGACCCACCATTTTTTCCCGATTATTTTGATTGAAATAGTACATAAGAAACTGGCCACAAATTGACAATGTTTCAATAATCTAAATGCATTACTATTTTTTCAATTTAGTTTTCAATTTTTTCCTGGTGATTCCTAATATGGATCTTTTTTCAGTAGCTAAACACTGGATAAACTTTGTTACTGAGCTGTCCAACACGGGTCCAGCTCCCTACACAGGTAGTTATTGCCCGTTTAGTCTGTCTCTGTCCCTCCCCCCCTCGTGTGAACCTAGTCCACAAACCAGTGAACCACTTTCTTTTTCATAAGATTATTTCCAGGAATATGACTTCTCAGACTATTTGAAATTTATTTTTTTCTAGGAACACCACTATATAGAAACAGAACATGCTGTATTGCATATGTTATACTTTACATATTGCTGCTAAAAGCCTTTGGTTGCTCATTTTTGCATTTTTTATTGTCTTTGCTCTCACTCTGCCAATTTGCTATGTTTTGAGTTCTCATTTTGCAAGACCGTAGCATTTTGAAGGCAGTTTTCTGTTTCTAATCATTTCTCTGATGTTGCTAACAGTGGTATTCTTTTGAATCATGGGCCAGCATCTTGAATCATTTCAAGATGCTGGCCCGAGCTATATTATTTAATAGGCTATTAATTTTTAAATTAGTCCACTAGGCTATGTAGATCTACATTTGATGACTGTTCAACATATATATATATATATATATATATACATTCTTTTCATACTTATGTATGTATGTATGCATGTATGCATGTTATCATTTTGCTTCTGGGCTCAATTCAAATTATTGTGCATCCTTAGGGTATGAATTGTTTAAAACCAGAATATGCTAAGAATTGCCTACACCCATTTCAAACTGTTTGCACTGTTTACTGACACATCCCTTCATATTCCATCCTCCCAGAGCTATGGTAGTACGTACAAGTAACAGAACATTTTCTATAAGGTGTGGAGAAGATAGGCTACTCTGCAAAAGAAAGTTTGCCTAGCTATGTTGTTATTCATAGAGTTGTCCATCCCTAATTTAATATAGAGTCCCCAAGCTTTTGGGAACAATGGACATACTTTAAATACCTATCTAATTTTTGTTTAAACAATTGATATGACCAGTGATCTCCCAAAAGTGATTCTGGATGTTGCACAAGGCCTTAAAAAGAACAGATCAACAAACCATAGCAGTGCAGCCCACAAACAGGAACCCATATACACAAGCTGTGAAATCAACTTGTAGTAAAACTCTTCCCATGCAGTTATGGATAAATGAATAAGCACTTCCAGTTCTCCATTCACAATCTCATATGTTTTTTGACCAAGGTAGCCAGGTTCTGAACTTAGAATAAATCCTATTAATTAAAATACATCCATATGAATTGTTCTGTGTAATTCTGCTCAGTCTTGTTTTCAAACCATTCTGTTCCACTGTTTTCTGTTGTCATTCAGTTAAGGAGATATTGAATCCATTCTCATATACATTTTTACTACAGTCGTGCTTTTTCTTTTGATCATGATTATTTCATTGACATTTCATGGGACTACATTTTAAGACTATGTACCATGCCATAACTTGCAATTTGAAAGTTGAATTGTTCTTTAAAATGTCAAATATTTTTTTTTACTAAGTGTTGAAATACGGAATGCAAGACGATCAACTGAAAAAAAAGAAAGGCTTAATGGCATGGGAGCTAGAGATGGTGCGCTATGAAAAGTAATATAAGGAATAAAACAGGGATTTTTTTCCAAAATAAAAATACTTTTTAACCCATTTGCAGGTGGTTTCTTCAACCATTAAGATGTATAATTAAATAGAAATAATGTTAGGATGCTAAAATTCCAAGTTTCACATTTTGCTTTGTAATTAATGGAGTAACTGGTCTGGTTTCCTTTGTTCAGCATAACCCCTTTATTCACCAATTTTATATACGGATTGAATGTATAGCTTGAGTAACATATGAAACCAGGCTCATCAGGCACTGAACTGCATTTGATTGGCTTTTCTTTTCTTTGTGAACTATAAAGAGTAGTCAGCTAAAATACTCACCAAGAGGTAAAGAATCCTTTTACCAAGCAACCTGCAGGGAACATAAAGGAAAAGAAGAGAGAAGCACTAAAGAGAGAAGAACATTGGAAATAAACAAAGTGACATAAATGACAGGTGGCAAAATGATATTGACTGAAAAGATGGAACAAGTGAAGAATGATCATCCTTCTATTAGGCCTCTAAAAGAGCAAGTATAATAGTCTCTAAGTTTTCATTGTGCACATGGAAAAAAGCCAATATCTCTTTCGGGAAATGGTGGCAGAGATAATAGTTAGAGTTTCTATCCACAGGACACATTTTAAAGTGTTAGAATCACTGTAGAAAAAAATTGTTTGTTTCTTCCATTTTCTATCCTGTGAGTTCCAACCAGTGCATATGTCAGTACGAAAAATACCAAAATCAGTAATGATAGTTTTTCCTCCAAGATTCTTCAGATTGTATCCTATTTGAGAGGGTTTTGCAAGTGGGCTTACACTGGCTGATTCTGAATTTCAGTGGGGTCAGGCTGTTCATCGCTGTGAGTTATCAATGAGAAAATTCTGTAGCATATTTTATTTACTCATTCATTCATTTATGAAACACAATTCCACAGAAACCACCTGGCCATGTCTTTGATACAATAATTAATCTCCTCCTCCTTTTAGCAATAATATAATCAATTTGTTTTCTATGTATTAACTAAGGTCTTAGTTTATATAGACTACTAATAAGTAAGTGTTCTCCAGATTTGAGTCAGACTTGGGCTAGATTTTATAAGCATAAACAAATAATTTTTATTGCAAAGTAAACTCTATAATTTTTGTTCAAGATAAACCAAGCTAAGATTTACAGTCTAAATATTTTTCAGTTATTTTGGAATTAAAATCTTTTCTCCTTGAAGCTTTTCTCTTAATGTAAATTAAATTAGTTTTGTTATTAAAACCATAATTTAATAACCTGCATTGGCCAGAATCGTATTCAGTGATGGATGGCTAAATAAATTTGATTAATAAATAAATAGTAAAAATTGAAAAAATGTTTTCATGCAGTTGCTGATTTATTTCTCTGATCCTTCAGAATTAGATGCATTTTTATTACAGTTCTAATAAAAGAGACTAATTTGCATATTAACACATTTGTGTTTAACACTGGTTTTAAAGAATGTTCTTGATTCAGTTGTAAGCTAATATAGAAAAAATAGGGGTGCTTTCTTTTTAATATGCAGTGCTATAGAGTACATATTTCAAATTGTAAAGATATTGTATAAATGAATGAAAATGAATTTCACAACATGTTCAAAATATAGAAATAAGTTTATATGTATTTGTGTGCATACAGTATGTGTATACATACATTGTATACAGTATATACAGTAGTATACACAAAGTCAGTTTCTGCAAATCTAGTTGGATGTTTCTTGATGCTGATGGACATCTGACTCATTCAAATAAAAGAAGTAATAAAAAGTTCTTGGCTTAGCATTAGATTTTTATTAACACATGCTCAGCCTTGATCCCGGGGAGTGTTCAAATATATTAGTGCTGGCTACTACAGTGAATCCTCCCTTTCCATCTGGGGGAGACTATCATACTCCTTGCCTAAAATGTCATTGCTATTATATAGTGTCAGACTGGGAGGCTGTTATAAGAATTCAGCTCTGTTCCTTTTTGTGGGGATTAAACCCAATATGTATTTGTGAAGTTCTAATGTATGGAATAATTGAATATTACATTTTTGTTTTTAGTTGTTCTGATATAGATGCCTAGAGTCAGTTTACTTCTTGAGTCAGTTATCAGGTTCTCAAATAACCATACAACAAATAATTGGGAAAAGCTGGTCCACTTATACTTGTTTCTGTGCTTCATGTGTTATTCCCTTTTTCCAGGCCATGGCCATATACCATATTCCAGCGGGGATTTGATTTGGTGCTGGGAGAACAACCTTCTGACAAGATATTCAGGTAGAATTCAGCATCAGATTTGGTTGTGTGCTGTCAGTAAGGAGAAACAGCTATTAAGGGGAAGTCCTGGGATTTCAGTTAGAGATGTACCCCAGCATCTAATATGATTTTGCTTAAATTAAACTTGAAACAGTATGAATATGAATTCTAAGTTAGATCTTCTCAAATGACCGTATCTCATACAGCTTGCTGTTGGCTTATGAAAATGTCAGTGATTGTCTGAAGGACTGAATGCAAAATTCAACTTTTTGAACTTTCAGTTCAAATTTTATATTAAAAAATCCCCAATTTGTGGTAAAATAGCAATCATAAAAGCTTTATAAGAATATATGAACAAAATGGTTTTGGTGAGCAAATTCTCTTTTTGAGCCTTCTTCATATTAGCTTCCAATCATAGTGAAATTTCTCCTGGACTGATGACATGATTTGTGCCACTCTCCCCTGCCATGATGTTACATGCTTTGTGGGAAAGTAATTGTGGCTAGTTGCCTACTAATAAGGGAGAAGGTTTCTGTTGCAGGGAAGATAGCAAAACTACAAGAAAAAGGGAAAACAAGCATTACTTCCTGCAGTCACTACCTGTGGCAATGTCTGTTTCTTGCTTGTTAAAAGAATTGCTCTTTCCTTAAAAAAAACTTCTTTTTTTTCCTCCCTCCTCTATGCACGTCTCCTACAAATTCTTCTAGACAGAATTGTCACCTTATTTAAAAAAAAAAAGATAAATGAAATAACTCAACACTTAATAAGGTGTATCAGTGAAAGATACATAGATCCTCAATGACACATTTTTTGCTACCTTGAAATTGTAGAACTGAAAAACTGTCTAGATAATGTTAATTGCATTTAGTATTAAATCAAATAGCATTATGATCATGGAGTAGAAGGAGTCACCATACATAAGTTGTGGTCGGTCTGTCTGTCTGTCTGTCTGTCTCTGTCTCTGTCTCTATCTCTCTGTCTCTCTGTCTCTCTCTCTCTCTCTCTCTCTCTCTCTCTCTCTCTCTCTCTCTGTGTGTGTGTGTGTGTGTGTGTACATTAAATAAGATTGGAGAGAAAGAAGTAACCGAATTGCAGACTAGGGCAAGGTAATTTAAATAACCTCTCTCTGCAAGCATAGAAATAAACTAGTAGAAAAATACTAATTTCTTGTGTTTTTCCATGTAGTTTTCAAACTGATTAACTCTCTCCTATGAATGCAGATTCACCTACACTCTCGGGGAAGGGATGTGGCTGCCACTGAGCAAAAGCTTTGTGATCCCACCTGCTGAATTGGCCATCAATCCATCAGCCAAGTGCAAAACTGATATGACAGTGATGGAGGATGCTGTAGAGGTCAGGTATGTTCCTTTCACAGATGAATCTTTGGAATGGCTGGAAATTATGCATGGCAGAGAAAGAAACTCCTATTAGTAATGAGTCTCTGCTGAAGGATCACCCATCAGAAATGGAGCAGTTCCAGATGCTATAAATTATATAAAATTATGTACAGATGGTCATTTTGCTGGTCCAGCTCTATTTTATTTCTGTACTAATAATCATATGCCTACATTTAGAGTATGGCATTTGAATAAATGCAATAGGCAGGAGGGGACATCTGGAAAGTGTCAGTGCTCCTCCTTTGTTCTACATGAGATAATTGACCAGAGAAATTATTTAGGGAACTTTTGAATTATGTCAAGTTAGTTTCACTCCTGAGAAATAAGCAAAAGGGGATAATTCACTGATTTATTTTAAAGCATTTATTTTACATCTTCAAATGTATTAACATTTTAACCTACCTAATAAGAAATATTCTCTGAGAAAAATATGTAAAATTGATATAAAGATGACACTTTTCTGTTAAAACAATCTGATAGTTTATCATTTTTTAAAAAATCCTCCTAAAACTATGATCTGCCATATATCATGGAACAAACTTGAAGTAATCTAAAAGCAAAATTAGAAAAGTAGTTCAATTAAAATAGAACCTACTATCAATTGAAATACATTATTGACTTATCATCTTAATGTATACACTGGCCTGAACTTACAGTACTACTGTGTGTAAGGTCCATGCATTGAGAAATGATGTCAGAATCCAATTATATTTCATCTTTAAATTATCAAATATAGAAACTCCCAATTCTGCCTTCTCTGGATTCTGCCATAAGAGGGAGAGAAGGGGGAGAGCAAAGGGGCTTTATGGCCCTCACTTCCTTCTTTACACTTCAAAGAGCTGAATGTGTGTTTATTGTAACCTCTAAGCGTTAACATATCAAAGAAGGGTAATTGCCTTTCATGTAGTATCTGAAGTCTCCATCCAGACGGAAGAAAGAAGAAAGGAGGTGGAATTGTGATACTTGAAACTATCACTGGAAGGGGGGTTGATTGGGTGGGACTACTGGGGAACCCCTTAAAACCTTGAATGGAAGAGCTTGGACCCCAAGTCCTGTCTAGCATGCCTGCAACCATTTTCTCTTAATAAAGGATTCCTGTTGGAAGAATTATTCCAAGAGTTCTGTCTTCTTAAGATGCAAAGTGGGGTGGGTCCTTACATTATACAAATCAGCAGGGCATTTTGGATTTGTAAAAACTTTACATTTAATTAAACGGCAATTTTGGTGGCCATCCATGAAAAAGGACATTGAAAGTTATATAGCCAGTTGTCCAAAATGTGCCACGGCAAAGAGGTTGCAAGGGAAAGTGCCAGGACTATTGCAAACAGTGGCAAGTCCCTCAGCCCCCTGGAGAGAAATAGCCATGGATTTTATAGTGGAATTGCCAGAAAGCAATGGGAATACTGTGGTCTGGACGGTCACGGACTTGTTTTCCAAACAGGTGCACTTTATCCCTTGCCAAAAGATTCCCACTGCAAAAGCTTAGCAAAACTTTTCATCCAACACATTTACAGATTGCATGGGGCACCCCAACGCATCATCTCTGACAGGGGGGTGCAATTTACGTCTGCATTTTGGAAGGAATTTTTATCCCTCTTAGGAACCACTCAGGGACTGACATCTAGCCACCACCCTCAAGGAAATGGGGGGGCTGAAAAAATGAACTCAGTACTTAAGCAATATTTAAGATGTTTTCTTAGTTTCCAGCAGACCGAGTGGGCGGACTTACTCCCCTTTGCAGAAGTTGCCTACAATAATGCAGTCCACTCCAGCACAGGTTACACTCCTTTTCAAATAGCCACCGGTCAAAGTTTCAACCCCATGCCAGAATTAACCCCAAACGAACCAACGATCCCCTCGCTGAAAGAATGGATGAAAAATTACAAAACACCTGGCCAATAGTCAGAAAAGCACTAGATGAAGCTAGGCAGGCTTACAAAACACAAGCCGATAAAAAAAGGGTTGAGCCTACACCATTCATTATAGGAGAGATGGTGTACTTATCTACAAAATACCTAAAGTCCCTACAGCCCTGTAAAAAACTTGGACCAAAATACATAGGACCTTTTCCAATTAAAAGAATCATAAATCCAGTAACAGTAGAACTAGAGTTACCCAAAAATCTCAGGCAAATACACCCAATTTTTCATTGCAGCTTGCTGAAAAGAGAGCATCAGTCACCTCTACGGCCAAAAATCCCCCCCCCACCACCTCCAATCATGGTGGAGGGTGAACAACACTTCGAAATAAAGGAAGTCCTTGACTCTAGGAGATATCATGGAGCAACTCAGTACCTAGTTGCCTGGAAACACCTCCCTCCCTCACAAAATGAGTGGGTCCATAAACGTCATGTCAGAGCCCCGAAGCTATTGAAGAAGTTTCACACAGAGTATCCTAACAAGCCTAACTAAAATTTTTACTTGCGTTTTCTTTCAGGTGGATCTCTCTTATTGTTAAGAGGGGCCGGATGTCAGAATCCAATTATATTTCATCTTTAAATTATCAAATATAGAAACTCCCAATTCTGCCTTCTCTGGATTCTGCCATAAGAGGGAGAGAAGGGGGAGAGCAAAGGGGCTTTATGGCCCTCACTTCCTTCTTTACACTTCAAAGAGCTGAATGTGTGTTTATTGTAACCTCTAAGCGTTAACATATCAAAGAAGGGTAATTGCCTTTCATGTAGTATCTGAAGTCTCCATCCAGACGGAAGAAAGAAGAAAGGAGGTGGAATTGTGATACTTGAAACTATCACTGGAAGGGGGGTTGATTGGGTGGGACTACTGGGGAACCCCTTAAAACCTTGAATGGGAGAGCTTGGACCCCAAGTCCTGTCTAGCATGCCTGCAACCATTTTCTCTTAATAAAGGATTCCTGTTGGAAGAATTATTCCAAGAGTTCTGTCTTCTTAAGATGCAAAGTGGGGTGGGTCCTTACAAATACTCTTTCTTATAATTTCCTACCTCACTTTCTAAAGCAAGCCACATTCATTCAGAATGACATAGTTTATACTCTCTCTAATCACATTAATAATATGGACAGGAATGAATAAATCTATAAAGCTCACTTCAGCTTTAGTATTGATTTTTATATCATTAAGTTGAACTTGGCCATTTATTTTTTGCATTTTGCCCAGCTTCAGCCGCCCCCGCCCGCCTGCCCGCTGTCCCTACCTCCCCTCTGGCATCCCGTTGCAGGGACTCGAGCACTGGTTGCGCAGCTCTGGCAGGCAGCTCCAGCAGGCAGGCAGGTCCAGCAGGCAGCCAGGGCGGGCGCGGGGCGTGGGACGGCAGCCCCCGGGGCTTCCTCCTTTGTGGCCGGCGATGGTGGCGGCGTTGGGTGCCGGGGCGCTCTCGGCTCTGCGGTGAGCGGCCGGCATGCTGGAGATGCAGGTCCCAGGAGCCAGGGAGAGAGAACGACAGAAGAAATCTTTACTCCAATTCCCCCTCCCACCTATCAGCTGTTCAGCAGGGAATGCTGGCACAGTCTAGGAACCAAGCGCAGACGTCTATGGAACCTGTTTGAACCACCTTGTTAGAAACGGTCTCTAAGCCCTAAAGATGTTGGGGAGTTTTCCCAACGAAAGCTTGGCAACCTTTTAATATAGTAAAATACTTTAATTAAAGTATTTTAACTTTAAACTCTCCTGGTGAACGCGCTTTATTCATTCCATTTATAATTATGCCCGGAAGTCGCATTTTCACCATCATTATTGAATATATATATATATATATATATATATATATATATATATATATATATATATCCAAATTTCTTTTTCTGACAAAAAGTTAAAGAATTAAATTGGGAGACTAAGATGGCCATTTCAAGCTCGTTTGCTCTCTTCAGTTAGCCACACCCTTTATGGGATTCGAACCTGGGTAGTTTACATGCTAGACAGTTGTTTAACCACCAAGCCACAGGCTGTCCTCCCTTCTTTGCCAGCCAAGTCAAGGGAGTATATACAGGAAGTTTTTCAGACAGACCGGTCTGATTGATTACATCTTGGCATTTTAACTGCTAAACTGCAGTTCTACTTTTTACAATCTCTTTTGCCTTGCAGCCCCCCAACTAGGGGCGTTAAACAGGCTTAAGTTGCAACTGCGAAACATTTACAAATCTAAATTTCTTTGCCAGCCGAAAAACTGTCTGAAAAACTTCCTGTATATACTCCCTTGACTGATGATGAGGCACGACCACTTTAATAACAGAATAATCAGAGAAGCCATTGAGATAGAAAAATGCCCACACAACATGAGCAAACGAGATGATACCTCCCGCCTACCAGACATTTGGAAACCATTTGGAAACCCGCCCTTATTGACAAACGAGTCCCTAACACAAAGAATGACACCAGACCCACACTCACGAAAGCCACATAGGATGTCACCACCATACGTCCACGCAAAAAGCAAACCCAAACACACACCAATGATGAGGCACAACCACAAACCAGAAGCCAGACCACAGCTGCATCATTAGACACTTTAAACCCCTCCAATCCATACATGAAGCAAACTGACACCCACCATGAAGATGAGAACGACCACAAACGCGAAGCCAAAAAATAGCAATGCAGCCCACCATCTTAAACCCCCCTGCAACTCAGACAAACCTGAGCACAACAAAGTCCCCACCCAACAGAATACACCCAACCAATCAGAGCACAGCCAACCCCCCATCCAATCAGAGCACAGCCAAGCTCCTAACCAATCAGAACACACCTCCATCCAATCAGAACACAGCCAAGCTCTCATCCAATCAGTTCATACCCCCACTGGCAGTTAAAAGGAAGATCATACATTGCTCCTAGAAGCACAAAGCCGAAAACACCAGCCTGAAGATGACGAATGAGACTTCATCAAAACGTCGCCAAGACACTTCCAATTTGACGCGGGAGAAAACCCGAATAACCAAAGACCTATATATATATATATATAGGTGCTTTGCGCACCGCATTTCGACTAATTACTGCAAACTGGCATTCTTGCATGCCTGCCTTAAGGAGGACCTTCCCCCTAAGTCACTCAGGAGAAAGCCTGCTATCAACTCCATGGAATGCCGGCAAGTTGTCCATCAATATCAGCGCCGCACTATACGAGCACTTATCAATGACCTACATAGACGGATCAATAGTCTAAAGGCATGGACTCAGGAACATCGGGAACGATGCCGTAATGAATTGATGGACCACCATTTTCAGGCATTGGAGCAGCATATTCGGACAACTGCCAGAAGAGCAAACCAGCGTGTGAAAGGGACACTCCAGCACAGGATGGACGCCCTCCGAGAATCTGGGAAAAGAAACCCTCCCGTGAGGCTGGTATGTAATCTCTCAACAAAAGCACTCACCCCCTCACAACTTACTCTATTACAACAGGACGCAGGATGTAACCTCATGGACGCCTATACATTGGATTTTGTAGCAGCATTAGAACCTGCTATGGGCCATATTGAGGTGGGGGAAGAGGTGAAGAACTTTATCAGACAACAAGTCACAGGACTGTTGATGAACCACAAAAACCATCAGGTACTATCGAAAGATGAAATGGAGGCTATGGAACAATTAAAGAAAGACAACTCCATTGTGGTATTACCCGCGGATAAAGGAAGGGCCACAGTCGTGATGGACAGGGTGCAGTATACCAACAAAGCACTTGAACTACTTAAGGATACTACAGCGTATAAGGTAATAGAGAGGGACCCCATGACGGCACTTAAAAATCGTGTCAACAAGATACTTAATGGCCTCAAACATGGGGGGAGGATAGGGGACAACACCTTGAGAAGGGTACGTCAGCAATGGCCAGATTCTATGGGCTACCCAAGATCCATAAGGACGGCGTCCCCCTCCGCCCTATTGTAGCATTTAAGAATACCCCGACTTCGGGTCTGGCTAGGTGGCTGAGTAACCGTATCAGTCACTTGGTCAGCGATAGCACTACCACTATAAGGTCAGCAGGGGAGTTCTTGGATATGATTAGGACCCTAAGAATAGAGGATGATGAGCTAATGGTGTCATTTGATGTCGTGTCGCTCTTCACCTCTATCCCACAGGATCTCGCGGTCACGGTAATAAAGGACCGCTTGAACCAGAAGGGCCTAGGGCAACAACTACAGGACTCCCTCCAAATTAACGATCTAGTAGACCTTTTAGAGGTGTGCTTAAAAACCTTTTTTACATTTCAAGATACCACGTATGAACAGGTCAAAGGAACACCCATGGGGTCCCCAATCTCTAGCGTCATAGCGGAGGCTGTGTTGCAACAACTAGAGCATGTAGCGTTGGCCCAATACCAACCTAAATTCTGGGCCCGCTACATTGATGACACATTCGTGGTCATCAATGTAGGCATACTTGTGGGCATACTCAACTCGGTATACCCTGACATTCAGTTCACGGAGGAGAACCAAGGGAAACTGGCGTTCTTGGGCGTAATGGTCCACCGCCAGCCAGATGGGACCCTGAGCACGAGGGTATACCGAAAACCTACGCATACAGATAGAATTCTGCATTATGCTAGTAACCATCCTATGACCCACAAAGTTAGCTGTATAAGAACGCTATTTAGATGAATAGACTCCCATTGCAGCACAGCCAAAGCTAAAAGGGAAGAAAGAAACCATCTCTTCCAAATATGCAGACGCAATGGTTACCCTACCAGGTTCATCAGACGCTGTAGTATACTACCCAAACCCTGGATGAGCCCGGATATGGAGGAACTCCCATCACAGATAACCTGTGTCACCCTCCCTTACATCAGCAATGTTTCAGAAGTGACAGCCAGGTTGTTAGCCCCCCATAAAGTGAGGGTGGCTCACAGACCTGATCAAACTTTAAGATCCAAAGTGATGCGCCCAAAGGACCCGCTCCCCAACATTGAAAAATCGGCAATCATATATAAAATCAACTGCAAAGATTGCCCTGTCAATTATGTTGGAGAGACTTCAAAAAGAATGAAGACTAGGGTCCATGAGCATAAATTAGCAGTAAAAAGGGGGGAACAGCATTCCCAAGTATGCGCGCACATGGCAGATTCTGGACATTGCTTTGACTTTGATAATATATGCATCCTGTCCAGTGACAACATGAAAGAGGGCCGGTTACTAAAAGAGGCATGGCTCTCTGACAGGGACTCTGTCAACCAGCACATTGACTTGTACCCGGCACATCTCACCTTAAGAGCATGGAGCATGCGAGATCGCCCACCCCTAAGGAGACATCCTGCGACAGTACCACATAACCCTAGGGAAGAAGTTATGGAGTGGATGAATTTTTGCCCCCCACAACAACAGCAACGGCCCATGGACATTCAGGAGAATAATCAACGATCGAGGGACTCCTCCCCTCCTGCTCCAGGACCATGCACACACTCCCGGACAGTGAGGGAACGGTTGCATGATGAGAAAGAGGCAATTAGCCAATGAACAATTATTCCCGATCCCCCGAAACCCAAAACAACGATGATCCAGCAACATCGAGAAAAAAGGAGGATGGGACCGGCTTGTCCTGTGATGACAGTCCATCAACAGAAACAACAGAGCACCAATCAGAACGCCCGAGAGGATATAGAGATCGAGAGCAGCGTGAATGGGGGGGGAAATGCAAATAAGTGTAGAACGTGATAGAAACTGTAAAAAAGATCATTGTGTTGATGGAGGGAGGGACATAAAGGAACCAGGCATACGTATTCAAAAAAGGAGGGCACACAAGGACTTGTATGAGGAGGAAGGAGATATTTGAGGGATTCAATCTGACACGGAGTCCGAGAACATTGATAATGGGGTGAAAGAGCAAGTAGATGTCAGACGGAATGGCAACGATAGAAACGGAGATTATTCAGCCAAAGGGAGGGAAATGGAAAGCAAGGGATGGGGAGAAAGGCTGAGAGTGCGCCCCCATAGAATGAGGGATGACAATTGGGGAGCAAGTAAAGATCAGAAGAAGGAGGAAGGTAGGAGACGCGGAGGTGTGAAGAGGGAACAACTTAGAGATACGAACCTCCCTAATCTAAGACAGTGGGAGGTAGAGGGGAACAATGACATACCCACAAGCAGTAAAAGCAAGAAAAGAAGAGTCATCAGCATGGAAGCCATAATTAAAAAGCAGTTAAATCAATTAGGACCTATGACAAGATCTAGGAGCTGTGTGTAAATGACGGCTCACCTATAAAGGCACTCTCCCATAGACCAGCATTAACCCTGACGATGTCAGAAGTATCTGACGAAAGCTTGGTGATCGGTGATGGTATTAAACTTTTATAGTTTATTATATTCCTGGTGTTCACGTTTTATTGGTAATTGACTATATATATACTGTATATATTCCCTAAGCAATCCTTTATATACCTTTTGTGTTTATATTTTGAAGGAAGACATTAAATTCAGAGAAAGAAGCATTTCTCCACAAGAGTCCATTTTCATCTATGTATTTATTTCAGAAATAGCAGAATTGGCAAGCTTGTATCCAAATGGGAATCAATCAAATTTCTCATCCATCTCGGTGATAGTCCTGAAAATACTACATCCGGCTCTGAAAACTTTCTGCAGTGCTATATGCATCAGTTGCAAAAAGAATTGACTGATATTTTGTGATTGCCTAAAAGAAGAAAGAGAAAAAAAGTACTTGGACAGAGTATGGTGATAATCATAGAACTTTAACACAATAAAGCTCCACTCTAAACTATACAATACACGTTTTACCATAATTCTCAGGACCTGTACTCTGAAATCATTAGTTCAAACAGTGCAAGTTTATGGCTAGTAAGGAAAATTCTGAACCATTTAATCAGTGATGTCAAAGAAATATGTATACTAAAGAAGCAAATGTACTTTCTGTGTACTTCTAATAATAAATGTGCAAAATCTATGAGGAAACATTCATCAGTCAATTAGATTTGAAGTTGGAACACAGTATTGTAAGTCATCTGGTATATATTCAGATTTCTTTGTATAAAGCATTATTGTGATCATTAATAACTTGTTAACGTCATGTTATCTCTGTCACTTATTTTTGGCTGTTCTGTGCCTTTTATCACATTCTATTTTACAGTAACAATTTAGATTGCAAGCTTTTCAGTCAAATAATGAAGAACTTTATGCCTCTCTCCTCTTGGGGGGTTGATTCCCATCACTCTTGTTCAAAAGAGTAGTAAAAGATGGGAAGAATTACAGTTCATCAACTTCAGGCTCTTTTCTGCTTATATCACTCATCAGTGATATTTGAACCACTGGTGTGCTGAATTACTGTTTTCTATCTTATTAAATGGTCTCCAGAAGATGGTAGAGGACAGGAAGGCCTGGAGGAACGTTGTCCATGGGGTCGCGATGGGTCGGACACAACTTCGCAATTAACAACAACAATCTTATTAAGTTATAATTGTTACTATAATTGCAAATATGTTTTATTATGTTGCAGGGAGGAACTGATGACTTCTTCCTCCTTTGATAACCTGGAGGTTCTCCTAGATTCTTTTGGCCCAGTACGGGACTGCTCCAAGGATAATGGGGGTTGCAGCAAGAATTTCCGCTGCATCGCAGATCGAAAATTGGACTCCACTGGATGTATGGTTCGTATGTGTTTGATATGGAATTATGAAAGGATGTCCTGGAGAAATGAGAATAAGACAATAAGGTTCCTTGACAAATGGAGTTCTTTGGATTTGAGCTTGTTGATATAGAGCATTATAATTCTGCAGGCTATATGGTATCCTCATGCAACATACAGAGCTTACCCAGGCAAATAGAGGATCTCAGGATTTAAACTAGTTCTGATATCCTCACTTTGCCTTGTTTAAGACAGCAGATCAGCACAAATTGTGTATTGAGATACCTTTTACAAAGAAACACGTGCATAACATGGTGCTTTATTTTTCTAAGACTGACCCCAGTTTTCTGCTCATAGCATAAAACTAAAACCATGAAAAACATACCATGCTCCTGCTTTGTCTTGAACATTAAGTTCTGTAACTATTCTACATTCTACTAAATTTGTAAAAATGTATTTAAGGCTATCTTACGTATTATTAGCAACCTAAGCGTGCTATGCTGAGAATCTAGTTACATCTACATTAAGTTTGTACCATGCATATTGCATCCTTTTTGCAATTCGTTTTAAGCAGAAGTGAACAACCTACAGGATGAAGGGCATATGTACCAGCCTATGGCCAAATATATGTGGCCATCAACATAATTTCAAAAGCTCTCTGTCAGAAAGACATCAAAAATGAAATTGAGGAAACTGAGTGCGTCAGAAAGAAAAAGGAAAAAGAGGGAATGGTAATGACAGAAAGATAAACAATGTTGCCCTTAAATCACTCCTTGATTCAAATCCCCCCCCCCATTATTTCTCTGCAACCTCTAACAAATTATTCCTGGAGGAGGAATACACTTGTTCTCCCCTGCTCCAAAGGAAGTTTCTAGGCCCTGATCTAAAGCATGATCTAGATAGGACAAAGGAAATATACTTCTCTCTCCAGTGACTTTGCTAAATTGTTCTGTTCCCACTCAACCACCTCCACTTCAAGAAATGGGGGGGGGGGTTCTCAAGATGTTATGGGAAATGTTGTATGTCAAATTAGAGGAGAAATGAAGGAGCTTTTAGAAGAGAGAAATAACATCTTGAGGGAGGACATAGTATTGGCTTTGAAAGGACTTGTTTCTGTTGTTGAAAAGCTGGACTCTCATATTGAGGATGTTGCAGACAAAGTGGATTCATTGGAGGATAGGGTTGAAAGTGTAGAAAAAAGGGTGGAAACTTCACAGGATGAAATTGTTATGTCTCAGTACAGAGAGATGGAGTGCGCTTTAAGAATCAGGGGCTTGAGGGAAAATATGCAAGAAAATCTGAGAGAGGTGGTGGCAAATGATATTGCTGTGATTTTGGAGAGGGATCCAGAGGATATATTCAGAGAAATTGAAAAAATATTTAGAGTCAATTCGTGGATCGCAAAGCAGAGAAATTTGCCAAGAGATGTGGTGATTTATTTTGGAAAAAGATCTTTACGCAATGAAATTATACAAGCATTTTACAATAAGAGATTCCAGATTGCTGCTCAGGATGTTATAATTTTAAAGGAGATTCCATCTAAAATTTTAAGAAGAAGAAAGGACTTTGCTTTTTTATCAGATGAACTTAAAAAGCGGCAGATGCCATTTAGATGGGATATTCCAATTGGAATTGTGGTGAGTCACACGGGGACACATTATAGACTTAATACTGTCTCTAAGGCAAGAAAGTTTTATATTTCGGTCCTGGGAGCGCGCTCATCACCATCTATAATGTTTAAAGCTTTGGAAGTGAAGAAGGGAGAGCAGTTGGCCGAAGATGAAAGCTGGAAAATTACAGGCAGAGTTGTTACAGCAGTCTGAGATGAAAGAACACAGAATGACCTGAGCAGCACATAGACGAAAAGAAAAGGAGCAACAGAAGAAGGAAATTAAAGAAGTTACACAAGAATTTGCTTCTGAGCCTGTGGGAGGAGCAAGACCTAAGAGATCTTCCTTGGTTCAATCTTCGATGGTAGATCTTCAAGCAGTCTTCTCTAGGCTAATAGATGGAGGAGATGGCAAAGCTCCTGACCTGGAATGTTAATGGCCTTAATTCTCCACAGAAAAGGAAGAAAATATTTCATTATTTGAAGCAATATAATAATGACATTGTTTGTTTGCAGGAAACCCATATTATTTCAAAGGATCAAAAATATTTGATTAATGCTCGATTGGGTTCTCATTTTGTATTTTCTGCTCCTGGGGAAAAAGGGGGTGTTGTTATTTATGTTAAGGAAAATTTATCAGCTGTATTAATAGATTCTGATTCTCAAGGGAGATATGTTATGATTGAAGTGGGAATGTATGGTAAGAAATTGCTTATAGTGGGTTTTATAGATTTTTACACCAAAAATTGATTTCATTGGATTATAGATCTGTTATTCTGATGGGGGATTGGAATGGAGTTTTGGACACACATAGAGATAAGAAAAGATTTTCTACTTCTTTCAAGCAAGCCAAACTACCTAAGGCTTTTTTTTTACTTGAAAGAGGATTTGGAACTGAGAGATTTCTGGTGGGAACGTAATATGGAAGAGAGAGACTTCACTTTTTTTTCTGACAGACATCAATCGTTTTCAAGAATTGACTTTTTTCTGATTACAACAGATTTATATTTTAGAGTAAAAAATATAAAGATTTTTCCAAGGACATTGACAGATCATAGTCCTGTATGGATGGAATTGGTTGCTGAGAAAGAGGAGAGAAGATCTTGGAGGTTGAACGAAAATTTATTTAGACAAGAGGCGAATGTTCAGAAACTTAGAGAGTATTTAAAGGAATATTTTATTTTAAATATGTATAAGGGAACCTCAATGGCAATGGTTTGGGATGCTAGTAAGGCTTATATGCGTGGGGTTCTGATTCAAATGAACAAGGCTTACAGGCAAAAACAGATGCAAAAGCATAAGGAATTGGAAGATGAGATCAAAATAAAAGAAAAAGCATTAATTTTGAATCCTTTGGATAAGAATGTAAAGGCTTCTATAAATTTGCTTAAAACACAGTTTAATATGTTAATGGCTGATCAGGCTGCAACTAATTTACTTTATATGAAACATAATACATTTTGTAATGCAAATAAGCCAGGTAGGTGGTTGGCTTATCAATTAAGGAAGAAACAGAAGTCGAGAATTATAGATAAAATAAATTATAATGGTAAAGTGGTTTTTCAGAAAGAATTGATTAAAAAATCTTTCTTAGATTTTTATACAAAATTATATATGGGTAAGAAGGTACAGAATTCAGATATAGATAAATATTTACAAGATGCTCATTTTCCTAAGTTATCGAATGATCAAAGAGATGAGATTAATGGATTTATTACTTCACAGGAAATTATTATGGCAATTAAACAATTAAAAGCTGGTAAAGCACCTGGCACCGATGGATTGACATCAATTTATTACAAGACTTTAAGTGATGAGATGATAGAGCCCTTAAAGCAGTGGTTCTCAACCTGTGGGTCGGGACCCCATTTGGGGTCGAACGACCATTTCACGGGGGTCGCCAAACAACACAGTCCGCCATTTTCTTTCCCCTTTTCGTTAGCTGTGCTACTCCCTTTTATTCTATTGGCTTTTGAAAGCCAATAGAATAGACTCTCTTGAATATTATTGGGCTTAGAGACTCCCCCATCTTGGGGAAGGGCTTTTATATCTTTGATTCCAAAAGAGGATCAAGATCTTACTTTACCAAAAAATTATAGACCTATATCTCTTTTGAATGTAGATTATAAATTTTTTTCAAAAATCTTAACCAATAGACTTATGACAGTATGAATCAAGTGATACATACTGATCAAACAGGTTTTATAACTGGGAGATATATGAAGAGTAATGTTAGACAAATTATTAATTTAATAGAATATTTGGATAAAAACAATCAGATTTCTGCAGGATTTATTTTTTTAGATGCTGAGAAAGCCTTTGACCAGTTAAATTGGCAATTTATGTTAAGGTTGGTTGAAGAGATGAATTTTGGAGATAAAATTTTGCAAGCTCTTCGAGGTATTTACCAAAGACAATCGGCACAACTTATAATTAATGGAGGTTTATCTGAGGTTTTTCAAATTGGAAAGGGTACAACACAGGATTGTCCACTGTCTCCTTTGTTGTTTGTTTTAATGTTGGAAATTTTGTTGATTAAAATTCGTGAATCATCTAAAATAAAGGGAATAATGATTGATAAGAATGATTATAAACTAAGAGCTTTTGCAGATGATTTGGTTGTTACTTTGTCTCAACCAACTTATTCTGTATTAGAGTAGTTACAGTTGATAAATCAATTTGGACAAGTTTCCAGTTTTAAAGTCAATAATAATAAAACTAAAATACTATCTAAAAATATGACTAATTTGGATAAGGAGACGTTGGTTAAATTGACGGGCTTTGAAGTTGTAAAAAAGGTCAAATATTTGGGGGTTTATATAACTGCTTCTAATGTAAAATTGTATAAAAATAATTATGAAATGTTATGGTTTAAAATACAGAAGGATTTGAATGATTGGAAAAAATTGCAATTATCTTTGTTAGGGAGAATTGCTGCAGTTAAAATGAATGTTCTGCCAAAATTCCTTTTTTTGTTTCAAATGATACCTATTTTAAAGAAAGAGGCAAATTTAGAAGAATGGCAGAAGGGTATCAATAAATTCATCTGGGCGGGGAAAAAACCAAGAGTTAAGCTTAAAATTATACAAGATGTTCGAGAGAGAGGTGGACTCAAAGTGCCGAATTTGAAATTGTATTATGATGCGGTGGTTTTAACATTGATTAGTGACTGGATCAACTTAACAAATTTAAATATACTTTTTTTGGAGGGATGGGATCTATTATTTGGATGGCATGCGTATTTAATTTATAATAAAAAGGTGGATAGGGTTTTTAAGTCCCATATCTTAAGAATTGCTTTATTGCGTGTTTGGAAGAAATATTATAGATCAGATTCTAGAATACCATTGTGGGGAATTCCAGGGCATGCAATAGAAGGGATAAGGAAAGGAGTGAAAATGGATAGTATTTCTTATAAACAACTGCTTAATTGGGATGGGAATAATTGGCAATTAAAATCTATGGGCGAATTAGCGCAAGAAAATATTAATTATTCTTGGTTCCAGTATAGGCAATTATTAGAAAGGTGGAGAATAGATCAAAAAGTGGGTTTTATCAGGGAGGATGCGAATTTGATGAAACAAATTAAAGATCAAAGTCGAACTCATATAAAAAGAGTTTATAGTGTTTTAGTGGAACTGGATTCAGAAACAGAATTAGTTAAAGATTGTATGGTTAAATGGGCTCAAAATTTTGATGAGCCGATTTTATTAGATACATGGGAGATAATCTGGGTGAGGAATGTCAAATTTACTCAAGCTCAAAATTTACGAGAAAATTTTTATAAAATGTTTTACAGGTGGCACCTTGATCCACAAAAGATGTCTCATATGTATCCAAATGTGCAGCCTAAATGTTGGAGATGTGGTTGTTTGGATGCAACGTACTATCATATTTGGTGGTCATGTAGAAATATAAAGGCTTTTTGGATTAAGATTTGGTGGAACATTCAGAAGATTTTTAATAGAAGGATAAAATTTACACCACAATTGGTTTTGTTAGGTATTATTGTTGATTGTGATGATAAAGAAATTAT